ATCATTCTACCTTCACCTCTCAAATTGCTAGGATTACAGGCACGCAACACCACAATTTGTTTTTCAGATAAGATCTCCCTAATTTTGCCTGACTGGCCTTGACCTTGGATACTATCTCTGCCTCTTGAGTAGCTGGGATAAAAGAGAAGAAATTTATTTTTAACAATAACATTTTTTCTGATTTAACTTTTGTTAGCATCTGTTTCCTTGAACTATTGATTAGCAATGAGATTTATAATATTACTATGATAAAATAAATGATGCATAGTGTATCAGCATTTTAAAAATCTCTACAAATACTTGAACCTACAATAAACCATGTTAAAAAAAAATGGTTTTCTGAACAGAACAAAGCTACATACCGTGTTCCCTTCTGGATTCATAATGTATATGACTATATTAAATGCATAAAGAACTACTGCAATGTGTGAGCCCTATAAGGCTTTGTTTAAACTATTATTTTAAACCAATATACCTGACTACAGTTTAATTTTTATGGATATTCGGAAGGAGGCAAGCTCTTCAAACACATGCACTTGGAACAGAAGAATGGCTTCTTCAAACTTACATTGTCAGAAAAGTCACTCTTCTGAGTATTAAAACCTGCATGTAGGTTTCATTCTTCAGGTCTCTGAAAGTTCTAGTATTAACAAAATTGTTAGCACAAAAGAAAATGTAGCTACCTATTGAATTTAAGAATGTCTCCACACTTCAGTGTCAATTAACCTACATATAGGTTCCTTCCTTTTCATTGAAGACACACTCCCTCAAGTATTCTAAAGACGAAGGTCGAGATTCTTTCCCATCTGTCTACTCCCCTGGGGATATTTGATCCCTTTACTGTTGCCATTGTTTTCAACCATTACTTCCTTCATTCAAAGTTAGAAGTTGTTCAAGTATGCAAAAGGAAATGTTCCTTTCTGAAGTCATTCCTTCCCTGGCTGCTCTTTGTATTGCTTTACACCTGCATGGTTTGGTTTATGCATTGAAGAGTGTATTGTATTTCTTCTTACATTTCATGATATTTTAAGTCTTTCATGAAAACTTTAAATCTTCATAACTATACTTCCTACTTCCTAAATCCTCTTTTTTATACTTTAGTTTTACACAATTACACTTTTCTGCAGTCCCTTGTACACTGCATCCCAAAATAAAAGTTAAATTCATCCATGGTGTTATAGATCTGTTTTAAAATGAATTAAATAGATATATATCAGCAATACTAATTTGGATGCACATTGGGAAGAATAACATGGGGTGGAATTGTTCTTAAAGCAATCTGTGTGGACTAACAATGGCTGCTGAGCTCCAAGATAAATGTAGGCTCTTGAATGCTAAAAATGACACTGTCAATAAAAGTCTTATTTATAAAAGAATAGCCCAAGTACAAATTTATGGAATGAGGAAGAATTGAGAATCTAAATTAATAATTTTCTCTTGACTATAACATTTGGCCTCAAATTTCTTGACTATAACATTTGGCCTCAAATTATTGAGAATTATAACTGAAATATCAACAATTTATATTAGTATGGTTAACCATCTTTGAATGAGCATATATTTTATTTCCTCAACTAAATTTAAGGAAAATGAACATCTTTTCTACAATGACATATCACCTATCCCAATTATCACCTATCTTAATTAAATGGATTCTCTCTCTCTCTCTCTCTCTCTCTCTCAATATTATATATTATATATATGGAAATATAAATTAGTACAGCCATTATGGGAGGTTTCTAAAATAATAAAGAATAAAACTAGAATAGGATCCAGAAATCCTCCTATTGAGTATATGTTCAAAGGGAATGGAATTAATATGTTAAGCTGGGCGCCAGTGGCTCATGCCTGTAATCCTTATTACTCAGGAGGCAGAGATCAGGAGGATGGACATTTGAAGCCAGCTGAGTGAATACTTTGAAAGACCCTATCTCAAAAAATAAAAAACACCACAAAAAAGGGCTTGTGGAGCTGCTCAAGGTGTAGGCCCTGAGTTCAAATTCTAGTACCACACACAAAAAAAAATTACTAAATCAAAGCGATTTCTACATACAATAGCCAACATATATACTTGATCTACATTCCTTTTTCAAACTTAAATTCTTTTTTTATTCATTTATTCATATGTGCATACATTATTTGGGCCATTTCTGCCCCCTACCCCTGCCCCTCCCTCTCTCCCCCACCCCCATCACTTCCAGACAGAACCTGTTCTTTCCTTTTCTCCAATTTTGTTGAAGAGTAGATATAAGCAATAATAAGAAAGACATAGAGTTTTTGCTATTTGAGATAAAGATAGCTATACAGAGAGATTCCTAGCACTGCTTCCACGCACAAGTGTATTACAACCCAAACTGATTCATCTCTTCCAGACCTCTTCACTACTTCCCAGTCACTTTCCCATATTGACCTCTGTCACTTTAAGGTTACTGTATTAGCTCTTCTGCAGTGGGGACATCAGACACTTTCAAGTTTTGGTTTTCCTACCAATCCCCATAACTCCCATTTGCCCAAGTCCAACAACATTGCAGCATTTGCCCTAGATCTAAAATCTGCATATGAGGAAGAACAGATGATTTTTTGTCTTCTGAGCTTTTTTAAAAGATGAATTACTAAAGAAAATGTGGTAATATATCACAACAGAATACTATTTAGCCATGAAAGGATGAAATTTCACCATCTGTAGTAATAGAGTTAACCTGGAAGCCATTGGGTTATTTATGAAACAAACCAGACAGAGAAAGACTACTACTACATGATCTCACTCATTTGTGGAATCTAAAAAAGCTGAGCCTATACAAGTACACAACAGAATAGCATAGTGGATACCACAGAGGCTGAGGAGGGTGTGGGTAGGGGGGATAGGGAAAGGGTCAATGGTTAAACATTGTGTTTGAAAATAACTAGGATAGAGGATGTTTTAATGTTCTTATCAGAAAAAAAAAAGATAAATGGGGCTAGCTGGCAAGAGTGGCTCAAGTAGTAGAGTGCCTGCCTAGCAAGCATAAGGCCCTGAGTACAAACCCCTGTACTATAAAAAAAAAGATGAATGTTTGAGGCAATAGATATACTAAATACTGTGATTTTGGCATTATGCGTGTGTACGTATACATGTGAAACATCATATTATACAGCACAAATGTGTACAGTTATTATGAAAATAAAAATGTTTTTAAAATGTAACTTCTAAAACAATAGAATTTTAAATTTCCATAGATTTTTAAATTTGTCCCAATTTTTGAGCCTTGCCAAAAATTTTCCTAGTTTGGACATAGACGGAGAATTGAAACTTGGAAGTATAACTGGGCATAATTTTAAATGTCACAGTAAAGCCTTTAATTATTGAACAACCTGGAATAGCTACAGTTAGCATACATAAAAATAGAGGGCATAAAATAGGTAGATACAAAATAAATTGAGGCAAGTGAAGGATTTTTATGAAGAACTGAAAAGCATTTTCTGTATCAGGACATAACAGAAAATAGCACCAAACTTAGGACCATGATTTACCTACCTGTTATCTTTTCAAAAGCATTAACCAATAGGTTCATTTAAAATTTCCATGCTATATTCTGAATCATATACATTGGTATTATGTCCTCATAGTAATTCTACAAGATAGGTAGAAAATTTGCATATCAAAAAACTGAGTTCATGAATATCAAATAATTTGCCTTGGATCACATGGCCAGTAATTTGAAAAGACTAAGAATTTAGATATATGATTCTTTGATCAAGGTTATTGCACAAAATGAATCTCATCATCCCTGAACTCATTATTTCAATGTTGCTTAAGCACTCATCTGTACTGTATCAGTGTACGCAAAATAGCCACTCCAAAATGAAAAGAGGTTCCTGTATTGAATATAAATCAATTACTGCTTCCTTCTTTGAGAAACTCACACACGCACAAAGTCTACCTTCAATTGAATCAAACACTGTTTATCTGGGTAAGGTGTACAAGCCAGTAGCCCCAGACACTCTGGAGACTTGGGCCAGAAGGTTACTTGAGCTCAGGAGTTTGAGGGCACCATACTAAGACCCTGTCTAAAAAATGTAAAGCAAAACAAAACCCTGGCTGTGCTTAATTCTATAAACTAGAAGTTAAACTACAGCATACTCAGTTGCCTGTTTCTGTAAATAAAGCTTTATGGAAAAGTGACATTTCTGTTCTTGTACATATTCTGTCTACTTCACACTAAAGGCACTGTGTCAAGACAGAAACCATATGCCCCATGAAGTTGCCAGTATTTACTAGCTGACCTTCAAGAAAATATTTTCCTTCCATCTCAAGCCTTCCTGAAAGCAGTGGATGGCAGAGGAGTCTGCGGTTCTTTGACACTTTCAGCAGGCACTGGAAGGGTAAATATTTCTCTAGTGGTATAATCTGCAGGTTTAACCCTCTTCAACCTGAACTTTTTGTATTTCCAAGCCTGCTGATCTTAGTACTAGAATTATGATTCATTAAGCCCTTAAATACCTGCAGTCAGGGCTGTCCGGGGACAGCATAAGGATTGCTCCACTAACATCTCATTTGTAATTAAGAGAATGGACCTGACTGGGAAAAGAACCCACTGTCCTCTCTTCTCAGCCTCAGTATTGACCTTGAGACCCAAGCAAAGATAAACATTTCATTCTTCTCTGATTTTCCGCCATCCTAGAACAGCTGACTAATTTCAAATAACTATGAAGTATATGCAAATCACTCAAACAATTCTAGTTTAATTAATAAGTAGGAAAAAATCCATCAGTTTCCCTTCAGAATAAAGTCTGTAAAAGATCATCTATTTCTATGGCAGCAAATGCACTTGAAGCTAGTTTACAAAGTTTCCATGGTGTTGTTTTATTTTTTCACTGAATAGATTATTCAACTGAATTGATTCAAGCAATTAGTTATTTTAAAATTCCTCGACTGGCATATTTCAGGAGTGTATACAATTTATATTTTTCAAAGTTATCATTGTTTAAAGCTGTAATCTAGAAATTCTCAGTTAACTTACATATCTTTGTGATCCATCATATTCACACCTTTCAATTTTTCCCAAACTGCCATCTGAGAAATATAGCTTCTCTGCCCGGTGGTCGATCGTGAGTCCATTTGGCGTGAGAATGTCTGTACTGACCACCACTTGTGCATTTTTCCCAGTCAGCGTAGATCTCATGATGCTTGGATGCTGTTCGTTCCAGTTAGTCCAAAACATTAAGCTAAAGAGAAAAATACAATAATAAATTTAAAATTTCATTAAGAGTAAAAACAGAAGGAACATGGCAATGACAAACTATTTAAAAATAAGTACAATTATTTGCCTCATATTCCATGACCCCTATGGAAACTGAGGTGATAAGGGGAGATGTGAATATTATATTTGCTTAAATACCTTAATTGAAACCTGGAGTCTAGAAAACAATTGTCCTATGCACTCCTTCAAATATCTATCTAGTTAATTGCATCAGTTTGATGTGATGTGAAGATTTATTCAAATTAATAACAAAGCACATCAAGTGCAGTCGTTTTAGACATAGTTATCTGGTGGATGCTGTATTAACTATATTTTTCTACTACAATTGAGAAAAATCAAAATCTCTCTCCCCTTCCAGTTTTGCTTTTTAACTTTTTCATTCTGCTTTGTATATATGTCTTAAAGAAATAAAATTACCAACCTCCCATATTTCCATAATTTCTTTTTTGTCTCCTCTCTGTGTGATTTTTACAAATTATTCACAATGTTGTTATTGGAATTTTAGGGGTGACTCTGAAATTGTTTAAGAAAATATTTGCTGCTTATAGATTTAATATTTGTTTTAGATCAATTTTGTTAAAATATTCTTTGAGGATGCAGAAGGATTCTTTGGAAACCCACTTAGGTCAGTGAAACTTCCTCTTTCACCTGTTAAATATAAGGCTGTTCCTCAGAGTTTATTCGGAATAGGTTGTTGCTGCTTACAAACAAGGGAGGAGGAAAAGGAGAAGCAAAGAAAGGGAATGAGGCTAGTAGGCTAACTACATAAATATCTGAAAAAGTTACACTTAATATATTCAGTCTAATTAAAACTATTAAAATAGTATATCATAAGAGATATTTCCTATCTCTTTCCCATATATAATTATTTAAAGGCAATTTAGGAACAGAGCCAACAAAATTACTCAATATGCGTTTTTTGAATATTTTTGTAAAACCTATTTCTGGAAAATACTCAAATCCACAACAAAAATCTTTCCATTTGCCAATTTAAAAAGTAACCCATATCGCCTGAAGAAAGCTATATCATCTTTGATCTTTGATAAAATATTTAATTTAAATTTCAGCAATTCTATGGAATGCAAAAGTGTTTATGTGATCACCAAGTGTCAAAAATATTCTGCTTGATGAACCAGTAAATTCACAGAAAAAAGGCTTAACTTTCATTTAGAATTTGTAATTTTATTTTAAAATATCACTTCATCAACTAGCATACAATAATGATTTAAAGGGGTCATCAATACATTTAATGATATTAATGTCTTTTTTTTATATTTTTCACTTTAATTAAAATAGCTACACAGTTAAATATTTGGTGGTGTGTTTAATTCTAATGCACAGTTTGCTACGTGCAAGATGAAAGTGTAAATTTCATCCTATCTATTAAATAGTTTTAGGATAAAGCATTCATTTTTTAAGACTAATTACATGTACTATCATGAGTGATCATCCTAGACTTACTTCAATTGACTTATAAACTCCTTTGACCAACTCACTTATTCACGTTTTTACTATACTGAGATACTTCTGGTAAAGCATGAAATAAATACAGCTGACATTTAAAGGTGAGCTGCAAAGTGTTGAGCAGTGGTGTGAGTACAGATGGCTCTGCTGGGCCCTTTAAGAGCTGGTTTCCTTCTGACCAAGTCACCAGAGCTACCTGAGGGGTCGTTACATCTCTCAGCCTTCAGAAGCTTCCTGAATAAGATGGTGTTAAACTAAGTGAGTTAAATCTAACCTCATCTCCAACTTTATAAAAGTGTCTAGGTTTATAATCATTTTCACACTGAGTAATTCATGTAGGCCTTTCTTCTGACAAGTGGTTTGGTCAGTGGTATCTGTCATTGCTTTTTATTCTGCAATTTTTCTTCATCACAACTAAGAAAGGCTTCTGCTCAGGAAAGGCCAGATTGGTCTGGATCTGTTTATTGGTTTTAAGAAGAAAAAAATGGATTGTCTGTTTAACCACCTTACTGTATTATATGAGAGTGAAAGTCATATGTATATATATATACACAGATAACTAACCTGTACATTCTACTTCAGTTTTCTGTATAATGGTTTCCTGTACAACATCCTCCTCTAAAAATTACAGCGCAACATTTTCTACTTTGTTTTATTTTTTATTCACTCAATGTTACAGTCAAAACATTTTCTCTTGTCATGAATTTTTCACAGGCATTATTTTAAATGTCTAAACAATATTTTTGGCAAACAGATGTAGACTGCTTAAACTGTTCACTACTATGTAAAATATTTCTATACAAAGGAATCATTTCATTGTTGTTGGATTTTTTCTGAATTTAGACAGGAAGACCACAGTTATTAAAATTAGTGGTTAAAGTAAAAAAAATTTAGGATTGAAAATATATTGATAATTTATTTTTAAAATCATAATTCCATATCTTTCCAACATTGTGTTATCTCTATTTTACCTTTCACCATTTAAACTTGCATTTATCGTGTTATAGAGATGATTCCTGTCGTTTAAGTAGCTCAAATTTTAATTATTCACATTTATAATGCATTCATTAAAAAAGTTTCATGAATTATGAAAAAAACTTCAAAAGAAAACTTTTTGAAAGTTAATCCTTTTAAAAATGAACATATCTCTCATATTCTTCTGACATAACTATAATCCTGAAATTAAAATGAAGTTCTTACTTTTGGCATTCATCCAAGGCTAGCACATGGGGGTGGTCATCCTCTGACATGGTTATGACTGCTTCTCGGTCAAATGCTCCAGGTCGGGTCTGGTCCACTGTGTGCCTGGTGATGGATGAGGTGGTAGAGCTGGTCCAGTAGAGTGTATCCCAGGCTCTGTGATAGGCAAGTCCTTCAACAGAACCCACATCTGACAGGGGAAACCAGAATAAACTTATATTTTTGTTTGCAAAAGTTATAGTTTCTTGATGGAAAAAAATTCAAGACATATACATACACCTGTTTTTTTAATCCATCTATTCTCTATATATTCTCCCCAAATAAAATTTAATTGTGATGTATACACATTTTTAATAACACACAGCAAAATATAGCTATGAACTCATATACATATCATGGGAACATTGCTCAAATAACTGTCACTAAAATTTAATGTCATTCAAAAAAATCCTCGAATATTTGCCTTGTAGGTAGGAAATTGTTGATTTTCTGTTTTTCATATCTTAGTAATTAATTTCCAAAAACTCTGCAGTGTGCAACAATTTAGAAATGCTTTTGAAAAACCCTATGCCAACAATACCATTTAGGTACAATCATAATGAGTTTTTTGTTGGTACTATAGATCTGGAGGTGTCAAGCAAAGGGAAGCTCATCAAAATTATAACAGCATCAAACAGTAGAATCCATCTCCATACTAACAAATAATGACAGAAAATATTTTAATGATGTGGTAAGTGCTTTGATCCTATGCTACTAATGTGCTATAAAAACCAATAAATTGATTATCAGTTAAAGTGTGCTTTAAATGTTTTCAGAAAAATACAAATGGTAGCACATAGATCCTAATACCCCAAAGAGACAGGTTGAAAAAGAATAATAATTATTTCTTAATATTGTGCTCCAGATCACAAGGAAAATGCCGAGTAGCTTTTTTATTTTTCATAGATGTGCTTTGAATACATCTTGAAGTATAATGAAATTATTAGTTTTCCTGCGAGTTATCTGTTTTCCTCAGAATTATTACTCTTAGTATGTTTAATGTAATATATGCCTTAAGCAATCATATTAAGAAGTTAGCATTATGACTGACAGAGATTTCCATTGTTTTTCTGTAAAGAATCTCTAAAAGGAGGTACTCAACTCATTAAAAACAAATAGATAAAGTGGGTTGTTTCCAGGCTGAAGATGTATAACTATTTAATTTGGGGGCCAATAGAATTTTGTGGGAGACCAAACAATAGTTAAAATTTTTGAACTCGATTTCTAGCATACAATTTCAATTTTGTTAGTTGTTTATTTTTTACATGCAATGCAACATACCCAAGAACATCAAAATTAAAAACAACAAATTTTTTGAGCACTATCCCCTAGAAATTATATAAGTTATTTCTCAGATCATTTTCTTTTTGGATAAACATATACTCTGAAGTGTATTTCATTGTTTCTCTACTCTTAATGAAATGGAAATTTTTAGTCACAGGACTAATAGCATTAAAGCAACACTTTTACCCCTGTCTATCTGCTCCCCAACCCCAATTTCTTAATAGCAACACTCTTTGGAGACAGGTTTGTAATGTCTATTACTTATTCTCAATCTACAGTGAGATGGAAGCAAATAAATGAACCATTAGTCTAAACTTTTCTTATTCTGGGAGAATTGGATAACAAGTAACTTGCCAAGAGTAGCCTCCCCTCACACATAAATAAGCAGTTCCTATGGAATTTATAGAAGTGATTAGTACAGCATCCTCAGCCAGAGATGATGGAAGAAAAACTATAAAACACAGCCACAATAAAATGTGTTAAGGTGAACTTTTATCACTCACATGGTGCTTCTATTTGATGTAAGTGGGTGGGAGTTTGGTAACTGTCAAAGTTATTTCTGTTAATAATTAATGAATCACCCATTCCACTGTAGCAGGAATTCTATTGGTAGAATTTTCAGCATTCTAGCCCTTCATTATTCACAAGTAGAATGAGAAACGGCACAACTTTGAAAAGATCCAAGCAAGTAAGAATCATTAATCCATCCTCATTCTGTTCCAGCAACTTGACAGGTTTTCTTCCTGGCCACTTTCTCCTGCCCATCAGGAAGAGGCCCTTTGGTATCACAATTGAGATGAAGCAGGAGCTCCTTGTCTATGGTTGAAATAATCTCAAGGCTGGAAAAGTATGTCATGTGTTTCAGTCTCTAGATGAATTCTCTTATATTTTCTACTCATAATAGATGACAACTTGACAGTTTGCTTAACCAAAATCTGGAGCTATATTTTATAACATTGCATTAGTTCTTTCTCAGAAATATTTAATTCCTTATAAAATTGTATTTATTATTTTTAAAGGCAATAAAGACATATAAAAAATAAAATTATAAAAATAATTTGAATTGAGATCACATAAGGGATCATTCTCCATTTTATGATGGATTAACAATAGCATAGGGACACATGCCATGTGTGTATGCATCTGTGCATGCACATGTATGTGTTTGAACACATACAGTTGAACAAGTTGATCAGCTGGAATAAGAAATTTAGGTACTGATCCTGACAGACAATTCTACAGTTAAAATAAAATACATATCTATCCATCCAGTAAGCTAGACCTCAAATATCAAGCAGAGTAAATCAATACAGAGTTAAACATATTGGAACATGAAGATGTAGGATAGGTATAATTAAGATAGCAACTATAATAGTCTGTTTCAGTAGCTCCATACTTTTTGCTGCAGGAGAAGAGTTATATAGGAAGTGCTGTGCATAACCACAAAAATACTGCTTTCTCACCACGTACATTTACCAATAAATAAATAAGAAATCTCATCCACCATTCATTCTCTTGTGAGAAGGCAATTGTATTCAATTAAGCATGAAAGAAGTTCTGATGTGATTTTGCAAAAATAAAAAGGTAGTTCAGTTCATCCAGGAAAAAAAAAGGCAAAATACTTAAAACCATGGCTGTACTACCTCCTGTATTCTATTTTCCAAAGGAATGGTGGGGAAATTAATCCTGATAGCCTGACAAACAGCAAACAACCACTACTCTGGTAGCTACCTGAAGGACTCCAGTACATAAAGAACACGCCTCATCACCTCAGCACTGAAGAGAAGGCTACAGCCTCTCCTGTCTGCCCATTGTTCTAAAGGTAGGAAAAAAGCTCATTAAATTAAAGTGAGTGAAGGATATTCTTCATAGAGATCCGCATGTTCAAAGCACTGCTCTTCATCTGGATAATCTAATAGTCACGAATGTATATTACTTTCTTACTCATTGGCTTGTTCTCTATAGCTGCAGAGAGTCACTGTTTGCTGTTTGCAACCGCATCACTAGTGTGAAGTGTGCCAATCTTCTTTGGAGGGTTTAAATCACTCTGACACAGAGAAGTAGCCTCAATTTCTAATTCAGGTATAAAACTTGAAATAAGAGGTTTCTGGAAACAATATTCTAAATACAGTCTAACTTTGTAGTTTCAACAGAAGAATTATCTTGACTCCATTTCATAATCTAGAACTGTTGTTGACCTTTTTTACACATAGTACAGCTAAATATTCTTTGCTTTAAGCCTAACAAAATATTGCTTTACTTAAATTTTTCCTAAACCCTTTCCTTTTATAAAAATATTTTAATAAGTCTTCTTTCCAACTGCCCTTTCCTCCCCTCCTCTCCCCCCTGCCTTCCCTTCCCTTCCTTTTCCTTTTTTTCCCTTCCCTTTCCTTCCCTTTCTTTGAAGTACACCATGTTTTTTCTAGTGTCTAGTCCCTTATCGCAATGAGTCAATAATTTGACATGGTTAAACAAAAAGTTTGATTTTGTAAAATTCAATGCACTTTCACCATAAAAGTACTCAAGAGACAAGGAATGCTAGGGATGGAAAGAAACTTCCTAAACTCAGTAAAGGGAATAATAAAAACAAAAATTCCAGGGTCACATCATACTTAGTGGTCAAAAATGAATATTTGTCCCTAACAATAAGTCAAATGTTGACTGTTTATTCAATTGGAGAGTCTACACAGGGAAATTCTGCATAAAGAAAGGAAAAAGAGGAAGAAGGGAAGAAAGAAAGGAAAGGAATGAGGAAGAGGGAGAGAGAGAAGAGACAGAACAAGAGACAGACTAAAGAAAGAGAGAGAGGGAGAGAGAGAGGGAGAGAGATTATCCATATTGCAAAGGAAGAGTAACACTATCTTAGTGTGGGTGACAAGTTTTTCTATATACAAAATTTTAAGTAATTCACTAAGAAATAATTAGAATGAAAATATTTAATGAACAATTTCCTTTTGAGCAAATGATGCCATAATATACATACAATTATATATGTAAATATATAATTATAAATTGTATGTATATATAAAAAAGAATGCTGTTGTATTGCTTCTTCACACACACTCAAAATATAACTCACATCTAAATGTAGAAGGCAATCTCTAAAACTCTTGGAATAAAATGCAGAATTAATTTTAGCCACAGGGATATTGTGAGGTATAAAAGAGATTCCACCAACCCCTCACTCCTCACTCTCTCTCTCTATATATATGTATATGTGTGTGTATTTGTATATGTTTTTATTTATATATTTATATATCTACACATACTCTACAGCTTATAAAAATATGTTAAGATGTGCAGACAGGGTGTAATTGTTAGCCAGTGAAGATATATAAAATCTAAGTATCTAGTGACTTCTCTTGAATCTATATTATTGAAATACCTTAAAAATTGTTAACTGGTTTATTTTCTTATTTCCAACTACTCCACTGGACTATAACTATTTTCAATGTGGACTGCTCACTAAAGACTGAGTCATTTTGACTTTTTCTCGCATCAATAAAAATGTTAATAAATATAATTAATTGATAATGTAAAGTATATTTGAGAAATGAGTTTTCACTTTTTTTCCTCAGTTTATTTTGGGCAGTTAAATTACATGTAAGGACCTTAATGCACCAGAAGATGATACTAACTATGGTATAATCTGAAAAATGCAATGTCCATTCTGACTGGGGGTGTTCTAATCTTTGTAAAATGCCTGTTCTGATCAAACTTAAAAGCAATATCTTTTTACACGTATACTTTTACCTTAACTTCTCTGTTTTTAAATCTTGTAATATAAAGATCAACATTTTTCACCAGGCTAATTTACTACAAAAGGTAAATAAATTTGAAAATCTATATTATTTTGTAAAATTTTAG